GAGTACTTTGCAGGGATAACGAGCGACTTACATCGTGTGACCAGTGCCCGCACACCCCTCTCGTTCCACTCCTCAGGTCTCCCGGCAGGTCCTGGCATGGCCTTAAGCGCAGCAGCATTGCTTTTGCCAACCAGGATTTCTAGGACTGGCAGCTGATCTTGACAATCCCGTCACATTTTGCAGCTCTTTCCGGATGTGTGCAAACTCTCATCACGTACCACGGGGAGCAATTGCGAAGTGGCAGATCGAGCAGCGGACTGGGACTGGGGGGCCTGCTTTCTGACCTTCTCTCGACCAAGAAGCCGGTCAAGCAGGAGGATGCCAGGAGAGCCTCTGGGTCACTCCAAGGCCCATCCAGGCTGGCCTTGTGTTCCCACTCCAGAAAACTCAGAGGCTCTCTGTCATTACAAGCTCCTGCACTGTACCTGAACCTGGGCACATTCCGGCACTCAAGGCTCATCCTGGGAATGAGCCTCATGCATAAACGGCGCTCTTTTCTGCAGCACCTCTTTGTGCAATTTGTCACAGTGCATCCTTCTCTGATTGGCTGTTATTGTGCCTGCTTTGTGAACTGCTATCAGTGCCTTGGTAGATTTGGAATACTAAATGCACAAGCACAGAAAATGTAAATCAAGTCTGTAACAGAGTCAGGGCTTAAATTTTGGGGATGTTGCTGTTCTGCAGAAGGTTCTGCCTCCAGGAATTGCAAACATACCAGCTTCGACTTTCGAGCTACATGTTTGCAGTTTAGGCCATCACCTGTTCCAAGGGGACTGTGAGGCAGGAACTGGTTGCTGACCTGGAGGGCTTTTGACGTGGCATGTGATGCTCACTCTTGGGCCTTTGCTTTTTGGCTTGGTTTTAAACCAGGAATGGGGAAACACCATCTGTCAAAGGGTTGGTGTCAGTTCTGGGGAAATGTCCCCTGGCAGTGGGTGCTCTGGAGGCAGGAAGGGCAGGCCAACGAAAGGGGCCACATTCCCACCATTCTAGCAACTTGTGGCTTTAAAGCTCTTCCAGGAACTCAGGAAAGACCATTCATGCATTTAATTAAGGCGGAAGCCTGGAAATTGCCAATTGAGTGCTGGTTGGAGCATGGCTGATGGAGAAAGGGCAGGGGGCTAGCCATTTTGGGAGCCCCAGAAGGCCACATGGACACCCCAGAGGTTTCATCTAACCTATGGTTCATTGTGTCCCTGGCTGCATTCACACAGCGTGATCAGCTCTACCTGCACAGCTACCATGGTGAGTGGATTTTTACCATAACCTACCCAACAGGCAATGAAGCGGTTTCTTACACTATCATGGATTCCTTCCTCCCTGCTCAGTCCTCCCGCTCTTGGCATGTATCCCATCAGCCACTGTGCCTGAAACTCAGTCCCAAGGTGCATTGCTCTCTGCCTGTGTGCCTACCTCCTCATCATCGGTCCACACATGGAGGCTGGGGGGCTGGAGCTGCTCCCCCAGTCAGCCAATGCTCTTTCTGGGGGAATCCCTGGTAGTTGCATAGCTGGACTATGGAAACCACAATCCTGAGTTCAGAGGGCATGTCAGGCCAGGGTGGGATGGAGAGCCCAGGAAACAAACTGGAGCTTCCTCTTGTGGTTTCTAAGGACCGAATTCACCATGGTGAAATGCCACAACTTGTCTCATGACAGACCGACAATGATAAAAAAGCCTCCATAGAAAGCGTGCTGCGCACTCTGAACCCGTCCAGCAGCTCCCAAATGTGGGACTTTGCTCCTAGGATGCCCAGTGGACTTGCTCCGCTCTCTGCAGCCTGGCAAAACCACCAAAGGTTCTGTGTTTGCACAGGACAAGCTTTGGTTTAAAGAAGCCGGAACTAACCATGAGTTCTCTTTCTGAGTTGCTTGGGGATAACAAACCATGGTTTGTTAACCCAGCTGTGTTCATCCATCACGGTGATCCAGAATTCCCGAACCCAAGCCATGGGTTAAACATTCTGGGTGAATCAGGCCACAGAATAGGTTTTCAATAGGTTTTACAACTTAGGAAAAATATTTAGGATTGTAGCATGAACGTCAGAGTACAATCCTTTGTATTGCAAGAGAAAAAAGGAGAGACTTAAGGTCCAATCCTATGCATGTTTAAAGGGAAAGAGGGGCACGATTCCCAACATTCCCCCGGCAACCACTGGGGAGGGTGGGAACCTGCTCCAGAATGGCGGCTTTGTGCAGAATGGCGATCTTGCTGGGATGTGGTCTTGCAGAGCGTTCCCGTGCATGTCTGTGCAGAGAGAAACCCCACTGAAGTCCATGGGTTTACTTCCAAGTAGGGATGTTGGTGAAGTCCACATATTTCTATCACACCAACCTGCTCACTCTGCACCAGGTCTGCTTTTTCCAAGTTGTGCATGGATTTCCAGTGCCTTAAAAACAACAACAACCACCACCACCGCCTTTGGGGGGGCCGTTTTGTCTGTGCACTAATATACTTTAGCACTGATGCACACTTGTGGTGATAGTCACTTGTGCAAGTGGAATGAAGTCCTCCTGCATCCCTAAATAAATTCCATTCCATCAATAAGCCATTTTCGGTACATAAAATGCCAGGCAATCCACAAAAGGCAGATGGAACACAATCTGTGCATTCCGAGAAAGCATATTTAGGGTTGCATAAAGAGTAGATGCTCCGTGCAATGTCCCACTGCTTTGTTCTTTGCCTTTCATATTTGAACAAATTAAGGTCTGAAACATTAGCACTGCCTTGGAAATGGTTCACAAGGGTATGGTTCTAGAGCTTTTCATCAAAACACATTTCCCACATTGATGGTGTTTGTGCAAATTTAGCAAAAGACCTCATAAATCTTTAGCTGACAAATTTATTGAAAGTCTTCATGGTATTTGATTAGAGAGAAAGAAACACCAGACATACACATAACCTACAGTTAATATTTAGTTACAGGTTATGATATATATATATATATATATGTATGTATATATATAGTTTTGCTTTTTTCAAATCTGCTTTCATGATGATCTGCTTCAAAATGCATAGAAGGGGATGATCGTGGCTGTTTGAAGTAAGGCTGGATTCTGCTCCAACAGAAAAATGTTGAGGTGGGACTTAAAGGAGTTCCAGTTAGAAGAAGAAGACTTGGGCAAAACTACTATGAATGAGGAAGTATTTGGCAATCAGACAGAAAAGATGGAGCCATGAAAGAAGGCTTTGCAATTCAATTGTGAGGGAATGGGCAACTGAGTTACTGTGTCTCTCCCCACGACACCAAGGGAGGGGGAAATGTCCTTTCCATTAAGCTAGATTTAAAAGATGCCCCAATTAATTGGGCTGCAAACCATGTTTTAAAAATTACTTTTCATACAAGTATTTATCAAAACTGGAAAAGGTGAAAGCCATTGAAAATGAGCTGTGCCTTCCTCTTTCGAATGATGCAGGGGGGCTGTTGGCTAGTTTGTTAATTATGAATTAATTGAGCTATAACAGATTAAGAAATGGACTAAACAGAAGAGTGAGCCTCTTGCTGCCTGAGAGCCCTGCCGAAGGCTGGAGGAGCTCTCATGGCCCACCTTCAAGCACCAGGATGCCGAGTTATGCAACCCGCCTTAGTTTAAAGCCCCTCTGCCGCCAAAGGATCAGTCATTGGAGAAAGGGGAGGGGCCACGGAACGGGGACATGGGCCATGCACAGAGTCCCAGGGGGCCAAACCAGAAATCCAGGCAGGCCAGGTAGGTCTCAGGGGGGTGCTTTGGTTCAGTATCCCTGTTTGAACAGCAATGGATTAACAGAGATTATTAATGAACACCAAGTCCATGATCATTTAGAGATTGCCTATTGGTTGGTAGCCCTGCCAATCAACATGTACGGGCATGGCCCGTCCCTCTCCATTCCCAGCATTGCACTGTTGTAAAACAAGAACAAAGAAGGGAGCTGGTGTGGACAATTCTGTCTCCCAGCAAATTGCAACATGTTCCGCCTGCCCAGGAACCAGTAACAGAAAAATACAGGGGCACCTGACACGTCCCCACCTCTGGAGGCCTAAAAACAGTCAGTAGTTTCTTAAAAAGAGAACCCAGTGCATCGTGGAGGCATCTCATCCACAGGGTGACAGAAATGAGACTGCTTACAAGTGAATGCAGGGGCTGCCTTAGACAAGGAGAAAACAAAGATCCTCGAATCCCTTGCGTTTAGCAATCTAGATCTTTGCCTGACATTTTCCCTGCTATTACGAAAGAAACCCAACTTCCCTCTTTTCCTGTGACTGCACCTGCTTCTTCAGCTTCTTTTTAAAAGACAGAACCAAAGGGAAGGTTCCCTGCTGTCTGTTTGGCTGTCAGAAACGGCGTTGCTCAAATATCGCCTGGTGAAACAGGTCGCCTTTGTTTCCCTGCAGTATCCGTGCAGCTCCGCAGCCGAATCCCTTTCCAGAGACAGCCTTGGGGCGAATTCCCAGTGATGGCAGGTGGTGCCAAAGGTGGTGGGCAAGGCCAAAGGCACAGGGGGTTGGGCCCAACCCAGCACGAAAGCCGCGGACCCCTCCGAGCAACACCTGAGGACCCTTGGCTAATGGACTGGGCCTGGGGATCCTGCCCCCTCTGCCCTGGGATCATGGCCCCTTTTCTATTTTCTCAAGAAAAACTGCTGTGGGAGTTGGAGTCACGGAGTTGAGTCCGAGTGATGAAAAAGGTGCAGGCGATGGGTGAAAACCAGACTCCGCACTCTCAACACCGTACGCGTCATCTGGTGCAGAAATCCGGCGTAAGTCCGTCCTCTGGTTGCCAAGGGTGGCCATGCCTGGGACGGCTGCTGGGCTGAAAAGATCCTCATGCCGGTTTCCTTGGCCGGCTTGCCCTTTTGGGCTCCTCGTTTGGGGTGTGGGGAAGAAAATGTGAGCTGTCTCTCATTTAGTGTGTCTCTGCTGGTCCATCCCGCCGTCCCCTCCCCTGGGAGGAAGGTCTTCTCTGCTCAGCCGCTATCGCAGGAGTGGACGCTCTTCCCGCTGCAAGTCCCTCGGTCCCGTATCAAAACTGAGCATGGTCCACCTCGTCTAGCCATGACGCGGGGCTGGCGGGGAAATCCGGGTAGCCCCCGCTGCTCCCCGTGGAGAGGTCTGAATTGGGTCCGTTGCCCCCCAGCACCCTGATCGGCTGAGCCAGGCTCTGTCCTTGGCCCACGATGGCCAAGCCACTGTCAGGGTAGACCAAGCCGGACAGCAGCGGCTGGTGGCTGGGCAGAGCTGGCGACGGGGGGATCCCGTACGGGCTGCTGGAGCGCAGGTCGTGGAACTGGTCCTGGGACGGGATGCTGCTGCGCTCCAGGGAGAAGCTGCCATTCGTCCCGGCCTGGCGCCCCAGGGCGGGGGAGTTCTCACCCAGGTTGCTGTAGAGCCCGTTGGAGTGGCTGATCTCCGATATTGAAGGCTCATCTGGAGTGGGGTGGAGGGGAAGAGGCCGAATAATGCATTAGAGGGTGTGCCCTCCTGGACTCACCCGCGGCTACGTTTCAATCTGGTCTTTCTTCCTCCCAGGACGCCAAGACAGCGTACATGGTCCTCCCCTCCCTTTAATCCTCACAATGACCTTTTTGGGTAGGTTGGGCAGAACCCAAAATCTCCCAGCAGCTCACAGCCAAGTGGAGCCCACAACCGAAGGCCCCAGCCCAACCCTTTAGGTACCACACCACACTGACTTCCAAAGATGCTGATACCTTTGGAATCAGCGAGGCCCCAAGCTCTTCCGCACAGGATCCCCACAGGGTGTCTCCAACATCAGTGGGACAGGGTGTCCACCCCAGGAGCCGTCCATAGTGCTGAACCTATTTGGGGTCGCGGCACAGCACCAAGAACAGCTCCTATATGTTTCAGACTAAAACATCGTCTCACTGACTGGAGCCAGCAGCGTCCACTGCCTACAGAGCGAGTGTTTTTCTTCCATCCCTTTCTGGGAATGATGAAAAATATAGTCCAACATATCTCCCTGTGCCTCTGTTTTGAAACAGACTGGATTCCCAGGAGAGTCCCTGGCTTCCGCTCGTGTACCCCTTGGCCCAGGCTTCGTTGCCTACCGGTGAAGGAGACCTCCGCGTCACTGTCGGGGCCTTCTTCCTGGATGCTGTCCTTATCAGATTTGGAACTCCCTCTTGACCGCTTCATGTTTCTAAAGTATTGTCCCCATCTTTGTCTCCCAGCATCTTTCTTCAGGCGTTTTTCTTTGGCCCGTCTGTTCTGGAACCAAACCTAGGAAAAAGCAGGTAAGGCTTAGTTTAAATCACCAATCTGTAAGTCAGGAGTGTGGAACCTTTTTAGCCGATCAGTGTCAACATGGACAGGCTGGAAGGACCCATGGCCTGACTCAGTAGAAAGCAGCTTCCTATGTTCCTAGTCAATTCAGAATCATGAGGACTAGAAACTTATTTTTATGGGAAAGGCAATCACTTCATGGTAGGGCATCTGCATTGCAGGAATAATACTGGGATGGATGGACCACAAGGATGCTCAGGATAAGGAGTTTCCCGTGCTCCTGCGAGCTCCTTCCCCAACAGCTACACCCATCGCTCACCTGCACCACCCTCATATCCAGGCCTGTTTCAGAAGACAGCTGCTCTCTCACATGCCGGGCTGGCTTGGGTGAGTTGTTGTAGGCATTTTTCAAGGTTTCCAGCTGCTTGGCTGTGATTGTCGTGCGGGGCCTCTTTGCCGTGGACTCAGCTTCTGCAAACAACCCCAGGAAACAAGGCATAAAAAGTCTGGAAGCTCCTGAGAGCAAAACTCTGATTCACCCAGACCCCTTAAAGCAGCCCTCAGCCAATCCAGGCTCTTGGCTTTTGCAGCCAATGGAATAAGCATAAAAATTATGGCATCTGAGATGAGAGTCATTTTCATGAGACTTAGATAGCGTTCTGCCAGTTAAAATCCACTGATTAATTACTGCGTGTGTGGAGGGGTGCCCGATGCTCATCTTAAACACATTATCTGACATCTGGCATTTTCAGTTCCTCCATTTGCAAGCCAAATAGGAGCCAGCTGTTGGTGCGGCAGCTAAGAAACCTGCGCCAGAGGTATTTGAACGGAGGCTGGGCGACTGCCTGTTGGTGCTGCTGCGGTGCTGCTGGGGACTGGCCGAGATGACCTCCAAGACCCCACAATCCGCCCCATGATCACGTGATCTTGCTGTGGGGAGCTCCGTGGCTTCCTGGGGCTGACCCCAGCTCAGGCAACAGGCACCCTCACCAGATTGTGTCCAAGGAGTCTTGTAGCATTATTTTAAACCCCCTTTTTCTTTTGTCCTCCTTAATGATGAAATTACATCAGTTTGAGCTCTTCGGAAGACATTCAAGGCCTCTAGCAAAAGTCCGTAAAGAAGTTCTTCTCACAGGAGAATTTAAGGGAAAAAAAAGGAAGTGTACACACACACACTCTTTAAAGATGGCTTGCTCCAGCCAGCATGTGACCTTAGCAGAGAGGGAAACACATTTTCCTCGGAGCTATCTAGGGCTGCGATCGTCCCCTCCTGAGCGGCCCTCCCTGGGGAGAGCCTTAGACTTGAATGGGTACTTATGACCCGCTCGCTTCATCAAAAACCGGCTCCTTTGTCGATCCCGCTGCCTGCACTTTCGGCTTCTCCTTGCCAGGTGACATGGCTGGGAACGCTCTGGCGCTGAGTGCCTGCGTTTCCAAACTGACCGCATCACCGGCGAACATGGAAGGCTTCCCACCCAGATCAGCCGCCATCCGCAGTCTGAAGCAGTAGCTGCTGCCCAGCTCACTCGCCGAGGTGCCCGCACCCCGCACGACCTGCGACTCACCTCTCTGCTTGGCCGTTTCGTAGTCGGCTTTGCAGACCAGCCGGCTGTCTTCCATCAGGTAGAATTCATCTCCCGTGGCCAGTTGCCGCTTGCACACAATGCACGAGAAGCAATGCAGGTGGTAGACGAAGTCCTGGGCTCGTCGCACAACTTGGGTTGGAGGGATTCCTTGCTGGCAGGCTGCACACTTCGTCCCAAACCGCCTGTTGGCAGAAGCCCAGGAAAGAGAGAGAGAGAGAGGGAAGGAGGGAGGAAGGCAGGCAGGCAGGCAGGCAGGCACCCTCTGCACCACCAGGGGACTTCGGGGCTGAGTGAGGGGCACGGGGGCAGCTATAGCAGAGGCTCTTGAAGGGCTTTCAGACATCACAGTAACCCACATTCCAGGGCTGAATAGGGACTGCAGGCGAGTAGCCATTGAACCACGTGTTGCTGAAATGTTTGTTATCGTGTTTTCTGAACCCAGAAATCAAGGGTTGACTGTGGACTGTTACTGAACCGTATGGTTGTTGCTGAAACATAGATGTTCATGTTGTCTTAACCTGGTAGTGATAACAAACCATGGTTTGTTAACCACAAACAGCTCCGAGTTCATGATCCAACAAGTCATGGGTTGTCTTCGTAATGTGTGCTTTCCTCACCCTGTCCCCACCATGAAGGGCCTCTCTGGAGATCAAGAAACAAGCGAGTATTTAGGCTGCATTCATTTTGCCTCTGACCCACCAACTGCTGGAATTCATCCCAGCCCAAAGCTTTTCTGAAAGGGGCTGAGAGAAGCTCAGCATCACAGACCCAGAAGCAGAGGCGGCCCAGGAAATTTTGCTGCCCCAGGACGAGGGCGAGGGAGAGACGGAGGCCACCTCTGGTCCTATGAGCAAAAACTCGGTGGGCCGACCGGCGGGTATTCCTTCAGCGCCGGCGATGAGACCTCTTCCGCCACAGCGCCTGAAGGCAGTGGGCTGCCCAGGAGGCGGCAGGAAGGCAGTCCTGGGGGACAGGCGTGCCTCCCCCCGCGTCGCCCCCTCCTTGCCGCTGCCGCCCGAGGCGATGTCCCGCTGCGCCGAACGGCCTGGCCAGCCCCGCTCCGAACGCGGCGTCGCGCCCCGACCTACCGCGCGAGCAGCCCGAGCTCCGGGGAACTGTCCGTGGTGCTGCTCTGCGCGGGGGGCCCGGGTCTTGCAGCGCCGCAAAACCCGGCGCGGATGAGCCACCCCGGACGCGCCCGCGGCACCCCCTCTCTCCGCCAACTCACTTGAAGAAGTCCTCCTTGCAGTAGACGCTTTCCCCGCGACTGAAGCATTTCTCGGCCAGCTGCACCTGGCAGTCGTGGCACTTCAGGCACTTGCTGTGCCAGTGGCGGTCCAGCACCTTCAGGATGAAGCGGTCCGCGATGTGCTGGTTGCAGCCGGCGCAGAGCGGGAAGTCTGGGGGCGACACGACCAAGAGCGGTCAGGCTGGGAAGGGCCCGCCGGCGCCTCGCCGCTTCTCGCGACGCCACGCGAGGCGAGGCCCCCGCCCCTTGCCGCCCTGGCGCCCGGAGCCCGCAGAGAGTGGGGAGAGGGGCCCGGGGGCCAAGGCCCCAGGACCTTCTCGCTAGCGGGGGCAACGGTGTCCTCGGCCACCCAGCCCTCCAGTCTCCCCGTGCCTCCGAGCTCGGCCGTGATCTGTGCCCGCTCCAGGTTTTGGGGGGCCCTTGACGGGAGCCCGGCAGCCGGCCCTTCCCGGGGGCTCTGCCTTCCCTCTGCCGTGGCCGCCAGCTGCTGCTGCTCTCCCTGCTCCCAGCTCCCTCTGGCTCACTTGCCAGGCGAGGACAGCCGGGGCCAGGCGCCTCCTGCTCCCTCCAGCTTCTGAGCTCCACCGTGCCCTGGGCAGGTGAGCGAGCGGGTTGCGATGGGGATGAAGAGGAGGGGCGGTGGGATGCTGCTGTGCCGTGGGTCTCCAGCAGGCCCCCAGCCATGCCCAGCCTCAGCGCTAGCTCCAGTCCGCCCCGGAACGCAAGCAGCCCTACTCGCGAGCCATCCCCGCTTGGAGGTGCGCTGTGTGAATTCACTGTTCTCCATGAGATAGAGACGCAGTGTGAGGCAACCGCGTTTTCTGGCTCTGAATTTAAACGACATTGAAGCAGTCCTCAAAAAGAGGAGGGGAACCTACCCTTCCCAGGACCGCGTGCTCAGGAGCAATTCTCATTTGCCTGCGCAGTGGAACTTGCTCTTAAGGAAGTTCGCAGAAGCTCGCAGTCCGTGACCTCCCTGGCGGCGAATCGCGCGGGAGGGTCCATGGATGTGGCCTGGAAACTAACCTGCCTCCTCACGTGCAGCATGTGCCCGCTCGGAGCCCGCGGACAGAGGCACGCGTGTCCTCCCGCCCAGGAAGCCCCCGCGCACTTGCGCGCGCGGCCAGCCTCCTCCCCGCGCCTGGAGGCTCGGCTGCCCTGCTGCTTTAGGCTCGAGTTCACCCGGCGAGATTTCGTTTAACTCCGTCCTGTGCTGATTGTTTTCCTTTTCACTTGGACTGTTTTATCATTGCGATAGGCTTTTGTTATACAAACCAATGTGAGAGGGCTTCTGTTCTTTCAGGCAGCACAGAAATATTACAAATATATATTAATAAGTATTAATACAACAGTGCCTCCTGACCATGCATCCAGGACCCAAGTACGCTGCTTTATCTCATCACTGAAATGCCAGCATGCTTTACAAACTTGCTTTCAGGTTTCTCTGTCATGACACCCATCTGGAAATAACAAGTTTCCAAACATAACTAGTAAATTGTATTTCCCCTTAAAAACAAGATAAAGGAGACTAATAACTCCCCCCACTTGGGAGGAGGAAAAATGTCTTTTCTGTTCGAGGTGAGTGTTTAACGTTGGCATAAACCATACGTGTCATGGCAAAAGAACAACAAAACAAACCTTATTTTGATTTGGTGAACATCTGGAGATCTCAAATCGCCCATCCATTTTTTAGTTCATACGATTGTGAGATAGAATCTATATTTTTTAATTTAGTTAAATATTAGTTATACTCCATTGTTCAAGATACCAGATTTTGTTCAAGATAGATATCCATAGATAGATACTAAATATATTCAGTATTATAAACTTGAATATTGTGGCACCTTAAAGACTAGCAAATTTATTCTGCCACAGATAAAGTGACACTGTCCAGTCTAGGTCATTTCAATGGGTCTACTTTATGTTGGACTACCAAATACTACCTGGGAGATTCTGTGGGCTGCAAACAGCATTGAATCTCTCAGATGCCTCTGATGAACTGAACACCGTCCACAAAAGCTCATGAGTAAAATCCAAAGTTACTCATAGGCAAAGTAGAGCAGATATGGTTTGCAGCTGCTTAAATTGCTTAAAATGTGTATATTGAATGTTTATGTTGCTCTTTATTTGTGGTTTGCAATTTTGTGAATTGTTATGTGCTTCCCAGACAGATTTGGCTATTTACTGGTATAGAAATGATGATGGTGGTGATGATGATAAATCCATAATTGTTGTTGTTGATGATGATAAACATGATGATGATGATGATGATGATGATGATAAGCAGCAGCACCGGATCGCAGCCTTCACTCTTACCTACAAGCAAGTCCCACTACCACGAATTTTTACCATGAAATCACAAAGATGTCTACTCAAACGTAAGACCGATTCCATTCAAGGGGTCTTACTCCCAGGTAGCTATTAGAGACTTGCTCTACACTCTGAAACCCAGTGGGGCTGAAAGCTCGTCTTACATCTTTGTGTTGCGTGATTTGCGTACAGATCCTACTTTCGCTCCTGCCTGTTTAGAACCCTCTCGCTTCCCCCTTCCAAGAACCCTTCTCCTTTCCATTTAAGCTGCCAAGAACCGCGTGAGGTGGCTCAGGACCGTCCTGGATTCTCCCGGTGGGCTCCGAAGCCCGCTGGGAGCCCCACCCCGATCCCGCGGACCCGGCCCATGCCGTGCTGCAGCTCAGGATCCCCAGGGACTCCCCCTGCAACAATGACGTCCCACGAGGGTTATTCTTCAACACCGCTGGGTTTTGACCAGACGATGAAGAAGAAGAAGAAAAGAAAAATGGGCATTGCGTTGTTTTTAGAAGAAAAGTTGGCACTGGAAACGGCAGACTGGGAAGAGAGGGAACTACCTCGGTCAGCCCAGATCAGTGGGTTCCACTCGCGACGAGGCAACCCGAGAGCCAGCAGGCAGGCAAGCGCTCGGGTTGGGTTGCCGGATCAGCGGCTGACAGACGCTGGGCAGGAGCCGCTGGGCAGGATTGTGGCCACTGCCGGGGCAAGGACTCGGGGTGAAGACGGTGGGGTGGGGGCCCTCCGCTGCGCCACACTTGTGGCGCGACGGGGCGCGGAGCACCCCGGGGTTCGTCTGCAGTCCTGCATCTCCTCATCACAGCCAGTCTTTTTGACCTCCGTGGGATGGGATTAGTATGAAAGGAACACATTCCCATGGCCACGCTTGACCAGCTTTGCAGAAAGGTGCGGGGACGACAAATACAGAACAGCAAGCTGACCCCTTGTCCCTCATTCCCAGTCCCACATTTATTTATTGTATTAATACGACTTATTAATTTTAATATAATGAAATTTCCAAGGGTGCCATGCTTTTTAGACAGAAACTAAAAGTCCAGGGGAAGGTTGTGGGACCTTTTCTTGCCTAGACACAGGTAGGTTTGCACCTGAAACAGATTACATATGAATATGAAAGATCACCATTTAAAATACAACCATTAAACATGATTTCAACTGCAACAGCAATTTTTAAAAGCCGTGCAAAGAACAACCCATGCGGAATAGCATACGAGTAATTGCAATTGTCTCGTTTCAAGAATTGCATTGCGGGGGTCAGGTGCTTTCCTGGACCTGGAAAGAAGAAGCAATGCCGGTGAATTCGTGCTAATAACTCGGGCCCATTTTTTTCTTACTGGTGATTCATTCAGCTGGGTTTTCGATGTATCTGTTTTGCAGTGTGCAGTATCTTTGCCTAATCGAATGTTTTCACAAAAGTTTCAGCCTTTGTAAACCACCCTGTGAATTGGCTATTGGGCAGTACAGAAGTCTAATAAATGAAGTGAAATGCCTGTTTATTCTGGCTTTATTTGATCTGTGCGCCACCTTCCCACCAAGACAGAGCAGCCTTCAGGATGGTCCACAATAGCATACGAACAATTAAAGCAGTAACAACACAGGTGCATTCTAGCGCAAGGGAAAGTGCATGGACGGAATGCCAACAATTCCGAAAGGCGAAGCTCCAGCGGACCCCCGGAATCTTCGGCTGGCAACTCCCAGGGTTCCTGGCCACGGCCCAGGACTGATGGGAGTCGAAGTAGAAGCCCTCTGAAGGGCAACAGGTTACCTTCACTTGAAAGGCCGGCGGTCAGGACGCCAACCCCCCAGGCATCACAGCAGCACAAAAACCCCATGAATTCTGGGGCACAACCAGGTCAGGTTTTCACTGGGTTGCGGTCAGAGGGCCAAACGAATTAGCAGGAGGATGAGAAGGACGGGGGCAGAAGAGGAGGCTGGGAGCCCCCACCCCCCGGCTGGGGTAAAAGGAGATGCTCATCGCAGCCAGTGTGTTGGACTCTTGGGTTCGATGGGGCAGAAGGAGACGAGATACGGCCACTTTCCTAAGCCTAGCGTCCTCCAAATGTGTCGGACCACAGTTCCCATCATCTGCCAGATCAGTATCCCCCCCACACACACACACACACACTTGGGGGCCTCCAGCTGCATGGGATTTTTTTACAGACAGAACAAAAACCACCAGGATCTTGGGCCCCAGGAGCTCTTTCTTCCCGCTCCCCCATCCCAGTTTCCCCCTCCCTGGTTTCTAGCACCCAACCTGACGAAGAGCCTCGCAGGACGCGGAAGCCTGCAGCCTCTTTTCCCACGCCTCTGTTGGTCGCTTGTGGCCAGCATTTGAGCTGGGACTGGGACTGGGACTGGGACTGTGGGGGGCGGGGGAGCCTGTGCCAAGTCCCTCCTGATGCTCGCTGGCGACTTTGAACCAGCCTCTGACACTTAGTTTACCTGCCAGGTTGTTGTGCTGTATAATTACTTCATCTTACCATTTTATTTATTCTTACAATTATATCATGCTTACATTTATACCCAAGGAGGCCAACCGGGAAAGTTGAGCCCATGGGTAGAAGCTCTCCCATGGGGGATTTTTGACTTTGGAAGCCCCCAAGAGGCTTATGACCTAAAAAGAAAAGTTACAACTTTAAAAGAAAACTTGCGAGAAGAACCAAATGAAAACCCAGCAGCAGCTCAGCCCCAAAACCCCAAAGGCAGAAGACAGAAGTTTCCTGGGCTTGTCGAAAGCCTGCAAGGAAATCAGGCACCGCACCCTTTTCCTTCCCAGGGAACCATCCTGGCCTTGCTGCAGCGCCACTAAATATCTCCTTCACCCTG